CAGCTAGGGTGAATTTACATTTAGTTCAATAGGTAGAGCACTTAATTAGTAATTTGAAGTCCCTGGTTTAATTCTTAGTGGAGGCAAGTGCACTCGGAAAAGGTGACCTTGGCCGGCTACATTTAGGTAAAAAAAAGGTCACATGTAAAATTGTTTATATTATAGTTGCATTGTTTCTCCATGGTCTTTGATTCAAAGATAAATAAAAAGTTATATATACGTTTTTCAAAGCTTTAGAGTATTTGACTCAGTTTTCCTGTTATATACAGTCTGATTGACACATTGGCAGTATTTGATTGATTGACCGACAATCAGAGGTTGACCGGTTCCAGTAGATTATCCAGACATGTTGTTTACACTTTCTCAAAGTTTACCACTCCCAGCTGGAATGTTGTCACTGCAGTGAATTCTATCTCGCTTTTGATTGGTCATTGTTTTGTATTTAATCAGCTGCCATGTATTTACTATCAATCTCGGGGTCAACTAAATCCTTCAACAATAAAGTTTATATATCATATGTATAAATGGATTTGGGAGTTTCAGTAGTTAAAATATAATGATGAACTTTTATTTCATGTATGTGTACTTGATCTATATTTTAGTCAGTCTGCATGGTTAAAGCATGGATGCTTTTCCTGAATAATTGATTTAATTTCTTAAAAGTATACAAATTGATGTAAGTTCAGTATTCTGAAGTAGATCTTCACACAATTATCATTAATCTAATCAGGATGGTTAGTGATAACATAAAATGTTAACTTGAAAAATATTTCAGTATTATTTGTCCTGAGTAGGACTACTGGAGGGAACTGGAATTTTGCACACTGTCCATCTGTCTGTGCATGGGTTTGTACAGGGCATATGTCATAAACTCTGTCACCTACACATGTTGATCATTTGATGTTTGAGAGTACCTTTCGGGATGGTGGAGTGTTCTCGGTCATGTAAAATGTTATAAACAGAGTTATGGCCCTTTGTTCACAGAGCATCACTGTGGGGAATGTCTCATATACTCAGTCAAGTTACTCTTGGGATGGTGAAGAGTAGTATGCTGAAACTGAGTCATGTGCAATTTTATAAACTAAGTTATGGCCCTTTGTTCACAGTATCACAGTGTTGAATGTACATGTCTCATATACTCAATTAAGTAACTCATGGGATGGTAAAGTGAAGCATACTGAAATCGGGTCTTGTGCCCCATTATATATAAAGAGTTATTGTCCTTTGATCATTTCTGATACCCAAGTTTGTCAGCAGGTTGGTATATAAGTGGATTGCTTGCAATACTTTGCCTTGATTGTAAAGGTAAAACTACCCAATATCAAGCCTTAAAATTAAAACATGTGTTTACCTGTTAAATTCTACCAATGTGAGAAATTAGAAATAATTTTATCCATGCACCAAGTTTCTATATATTTACAAAACAAGTCATCAATTTGTATACTTTCATCAAAGCTGACAGCATTTGTTACAAACAGGGGCTGTGGCATTATTCAACGGCCTAAAGATGGAATCATTTCTATTTCTTATACATACAGGATTACTTCTTGCATAACGGTTCATGATATTTTTTCTTATACCAAAATAGAATCTATTACCTTTGAGATTTGATTATAGATACCTGGTATGTGTAATAAACTCATAACAATAATTGTTGTTTATTTTCTTTTAGTCAGACATTTCCTTTGTTTACCAAATAACAGGCTAGACTACCTGGCACAGTTGAAGATCAAAGAAAAAAGACATTCACTTTAACAAAAAAATATTTTCACGGAAGGTATATTTACAACAGGGATTATAAAGTAATTTAAAATTGGGGTCGTTTTGTCCTGATCTTGTAAATCTCTGTAAACCTATCGTAAAGTGTTGGCTGAAAGCAGGGATTACATTAAATGATTTCACATAAACAGACATGTGTGTTTGCCTACACAGGTATTCTTTTCTTGGTCAAGTATGAGTAAAACATCTACAAAGGCTCGAAGGCTGGTCTGGGTGTTGGTTCTTGATTTGAAAATTTAGTCCAAAATCTACTTAAAAACGGATTGTTCATCTATGCATTTTGAAAATTTCAATTTATGAGTCGCGTTCTTTCGGAAGGTCTTGTGTGTCCAAGGATTTTCATTAATACTGAATGGATTCCCTCGACAAGTCTTGACTTATGATTTTTAATGCAATTTGTAAGAGTTTCAAATTCTGTTTCCAAGGATTTTCAACATTACAAAATGGATAGCTATAAAAAGTCATGTGTCAGTAAAAATTATGATGAGTTTTAAAAACGGTCTCCAAGGAAAATTCAAATATATCTGATGTATTTATATTTATAATCAAAACCAAAAATGTTACAAGAGGAATTTGATGACGACTGATGATGAAAATCAATATTCTTTGCTGCGGAAAAGGAGTGCTTTAAGTTTGGAGCCATTTCACTGACATTTGCATCGTAGAGAGTCCGAGTAAAAGCTCACAGCTAGAAAGAATTGTCAGGAAGTTGTTGGGTAAAAAATGTAAATTGGATTATATTTCAGTTACTCCATTTCCTTAAGGAAGCATTTCATTGAAGGTTTGGTAACAAAATCAGTCGATTTAAATGATATTGTTTTATTTAATAGAAAATCAGTCGTAAATTGTTTACTCTCCTTGTTACATATGGTATTTTGTCAGAAAAAACGCTTCATGTTGGATACAGGTAAATACATAATGTCAATCAAAATGAATCTCTGACACATCTTTCAAGGACAATCAGTTGAAGTTTCTTAAATAATCCAGTTTATATAGACTACCAACAACAGTTCCTATTTCATGTTTTGTGTGTTTGCCAAGTGTTTGAGGAGCAAGCATGGATAAATCTTATTCATTAAAAAACTGCATGTATATATGCTCGCCAACAAAGTACAAATAGTCACTCAATGCAATGATTTCTATGCTAAAAGTATATTGGTAGAACTTTGAGAACCGTCTAATTGAAATTTAAAATACACTCGTGTGTTTGAGCGGTTCGTGTTTGATATGTGTTGGGTCTGTACTTAAAAGTTTTGTAGACAGTATATTGTCTTCTGTGACAATGGAACAGGATCAATCTTTGAAGGACACAAACAGCCAGACACACAAACGTGTTATCTGGCAATGTTTTGGCCCAGTTTAAGAAGTTATGGACAGATGCCGGCAAGAAAATACATAATGAAAACTCATTTAGTGACAGAAATCATCTGTGTAGGTGTTCATGTATTTGGAGGATATCGCACCTTACAACTGATTTTAATCTTGTAGAAAATTCAGTGATTGGATTATTTTGTGAAGGAAAAGTTGAAGAACTTCAAAAAAAATTGTGTGATTTTTTTTTTTTTTGAACATGTGAATATTAACCCTCGACTGTCTGTGAAAAATATAAAGATGCTTGTCAATTTTAATTTATGAATTAGGATTAATACCTTACCTGGATTCGTGATCAAGCTCCCGATGGATCAAAGAAGTTGACACCTCGAGACAATGTTTATAAACACATCTGTTCCAATGTTATTGCTGAATCTCCATATTATTGTAACGGACACAGTTCTCAACCGCTGTGAGCGACAGGAATTTAAAACACAGTTGTTTAGAAACATTATCTTAGCACATAACATAGATAATCTGGAGTTGGTGTATATTATACTGACAGACTTCAGAATTTAGCCATCTGACTGGAATGTGTTTTTTTCCCATGAGATTAATCGTTATCCTGAATCGTGGTTAAATTACCCAGAATATATTTTGTGAAAATACAGTTGTTCCCTCAATACATCCTGCTGCTGTTGAGCGGTTCGCCCATATGAGCTGTGCTGTTGTGATCTTATGAAGATATGTCATCCTTCTTACAGTCTTAGGTCTATAAGCTGCAGCGTAAATAAAAGGTAGATTGAACGGATGGTTTCTCTTATTGGCAGAATATCTTAAATCATTATTGATTGATTGTCTTCTGAATATCCTCACTCTTGGGTATTTGCCAAAATACACATCCTCGGAGATTACAGTCGTTTTGTGTACCACTGATACAGAGTAAGGGTTGAGGCGATATTAATAAAGTGGTAATTTATAAGACCAAATATACTTGGAGGATTACAAGCGGGATACTATTTCACTGGGAACAACACCATATACGCTGGTGTAAATAAGGTGGAGATTTGAGGCAAATAACAGTGTGTTCATATCAATTTGTAAATGAAAGGCAAAGTGGTTAGACCTCTTACCATAGTATCGGTTTGGAGTGCGGGGAAGTTTTGATCACATACCCCAAGTTATTCTGAAGTGACGTGGAAGAGCTTTAATGTTTTTCGTGTGATGACTTGTGGAGCATTGTCACTTTTGTCGATCACTTCTGATTGGAGAATGACATGTTACTTTATCTGTCAATCAAAAAATATTGTAAAATCTACAGAAAAAAACATTTAAACTAAGTAGTACAGGTAGATTCTAACCCAACAGGATCTGGAATTCTGGATTGTTTATCACAAGTTCTGAATTACACGTATAAGTATCGGATTATTGATGAAAGTGATTTCAAGGATCGTGTCTGGAACACGGACACATACTTTACCTCATGAGCACGATCATTTGTTGGTTGGAAGACTGAGTACGGAACATCAATAGTTGTTTATTTAAAACAAAATTTTCAGAAAATTTGTAATGTGTTCCATTGATGGACTACATGTATAAGTACCGGATATTTGATGAAAGTGATTTCTGGAACACGGAAACAAAGTTAATCTCATGGTTGAGATCAACAGCAATTTGGAAGACTGAGTAAAGAAGCTGTTTATTTCAAACAAAATATTTCCTTGGTACAGAACATCAAAAGCTGTTTATTTAAAACAAAATATTCAGAAAATCGTCGGTGTTCCATTGAAGTCTTCATTTCTAAGGATCTTGTTTAAGTGGATTATAATTTATTCATTCTGATGAGACGTGTTGAGGTAAAATATAATGCAATTTTAAACCGGTTGATATCTTTTTATGGGACATGTGAATGCATTTATATACTTGCATAAAATATTTCTTTAAAGTCAAATTACGCATTTAAATTCGTACTTGTTCCAGCACAGTGTTTACAAGCAAGTTCAATGTTGTGTAATTAGGCTATAAGCAGTATACTTTTTCGCCTTTGGTTGAATGGGTGTTGGTCCCTGAACGCTGGAATGGTGATGGAACTCCTTGGTTGTGTAAGATATTTGGATGGATCCCACATTTACCTCAGACCTGTAATGGGATTTTGATTACAGTAGAACTTTATAGAACGACAGGATGTATCTGTTCATGGATTATAAAAACAAACAGCAATATTATTATCTACGGAGCACTTTGGAATATTCAAATACCCCGGTATACAGTATTCAATATTTGTTGACCAAATGTTTGCAGAATTGTGCTCAACGCATTAGTTTAAATTATTCTAGAAGCTTTAAGCTTTAAATCATATTCTTTCTGATTTCATAGCTGATAAAATCTCAGCAGCATTTTCTGGATTTTCCTGTGATGTGAATAACAGACAATGGAACATTCTGTTTGTGACAAATTTAAATCTTTGAATATTGAAATTTATGCCGGAAGAGATAATGAAGGTGATGCAATCTTTCAACAACTGGTCATTTAAATGATGGATTATGTTGGACGCTGAGGAATGATTTCTGTGGTTTGTTGGAATTATTAATTTGAGAAACAATGAGGTTTGAAAGAGAAAAGGAACGACCGTTGAGTATCCGACCTTCGTCCGGAGCGGTATCTTCCATGTCCTACTTTGTGGTATGGATGAAGCAGCCATCTTGTCTCAGTGGAGGTAACCTGTATAAAATAAACCCCTTAGGGTCCCGAAATCTAATCATTTGGACAGATATTCAGATTTTAAATCCTTGAAGTATCCCCACCTAAATAGGGTCCCCACATCTGATCATTTTGACAGTTTTCAGACTTCAAGTCAGTGAGGTAGTCCCACCTAGTAAGGGCTCCTAATCTTATTATTTTGTCTCTCAGTAATGTTTCCACTACAGGGATTCAAACCCTAGATCTCTTGACTTTATAGATCAAAGAGCTTATCTACTGTGTTAATGTAACAGCTGTCAACCCTCCCTCATTAAGTGGGAGACTCCCTTATTTTGACAAAAATTTACCAATCTCCCCTGAAACTATATGCCAAACTATATACAAAATCATAATCTACATCCTGTGGTCAAATGATCTCCTAGTTACTGCAGGGTGTTTGTAATGACCATAACAGGTGTGTCTGAATCAAATGAGTGCTTTTTGAGTTATTTTGATACATGAAAATTGAAATATAAATTGAGCAAAGCAGTTTCAGTTGTGTTTCACTCACTTTCTCCCTCATAGGAAATGTGGAATGTGGGAGATCTCCCTCATAAAAGGTTTCAGAGGTTGACACCTATGTAATGTTCATGATATTTGTTTTGTTAACACTTACCCGGGGATAATAACTACAAAATGTTAAAACTCCTTGAAAATTTAAGGCCCACAGTCTAAAACTGTCTTTGTATAAATGTAGAGGCAGTAATATAAATTTAACAGGCGAGTAGGTAATTGTCAGTGACTGTATAAACAGTAGGGAAACATTAGGACTCCATCTTACCCTTGAACATTATCATGTACGTAGTATGTATATGTACTGTAAAAGTCCATTGGCATATAGTTTGAATTAAATAAACCACAAAAGTTGCCATTCAACTGGATTTTACAATAGAGATTCAATTTAAGCTAGTACCAAGTTTTAATCAACTATTTCAATATCAAGGATACATTTAAATTAAAAAATCTAATCCATTACTGAGTATATAAACCACAATTGATTTGCGATTTGCTTTCAACAAGCTTAGAGAAAAACTCATTGAGAGTGACATTTTATAACACTGTGGCCAATGTCATTATTTCTAAATTCCGTAAGAGGATTAAAATTCTCGTCGTATGAGATATTTCTGGTTTCCGTCGTGTGTCAATCAAGTCCAAACTAGGGTAGCAGGGGAAGAACTTTGGTCTCAGTTTTTTTGACAAAAATAACAGGACATGATTTGTGTTAATAAAAATGATAAATCTGAATATTTGACACTCTTGATTGGCATAATGCTCTAATAATGTATCCGGAATAGGTGGTTTTGTTTTGTGTTACACACTGGGTCAAATTTTAGTCCGGTCGCCTGAAGGGTTAATATGTTTGATTGATTTTAGGAAAGAGTAAGAGTTTGATGGAATTAAGAAGGATTGTGGTTTGAATATTTGCCTAAGTTTGATAAATGGCTATATTGATTTTTGAATACTTAAGGTTTAAAGTAGATTGAAGTGTTTTATCTGGAATGATAATGATAAAATGTTTGCTAAATGTCAATAAATATTTATACATATTACAAAAAAAACACCAACACAGATCTTAAAATCAATTATGATGATGTTCACTTTTAAGAATACTGAAATACCCAACATTATTGGTATTTGTGTGTTTGTACCTGACATATTGATCCCACGATCATTTACAGAGTTATTGCCCTTTGTTTGCTGGGAGCTTACAAATTTGTTCTGACAATCAGTTTGTGTGTTTCCATTTCCTTTCCATGAAACTATGTAGTGTTTACCAACATTGTGCTTTGTTGTGTGAGTGTATTAGACTTATTAGGGCCCCTTATCAGAGATACGGGTACCCTATAGTAATCACTCTGTCAGTCTGTCTGTCTGTCTGTCTGTCTGTCTGTCCGTCCTCAAATTCTGTTCCTGGCTGATAACTTTGGTATTTATTGACCGATGTACATGAAACTTGGTCAAGATGTTCAGTTCATAAAAATACACATTGAGGTAAAAAGTCAAGGTCAAAGGTCAAGGTCATTAGGTTCAAAGGTCAAGGTCAAATTTTACATCTTTTCACTGATGAACATTTTGTTATGACATTATGAAGCAAAGTTGATCAGAATTAAAAAAGGAGTCAACTGACCAAAGTTCAAGGTCATTGGGTCAGGGGTCAAGGTCAAATTTTGTACCTTTTTACTGGTGAACATTTCGTTTGACATTATGAAGCAAAGTTGTTCGGAATTAAACAAAGAGACACACTGAGGTAAAAAGTCGAGGTCAAAGGTCAAGGTCAGTAGATTCAAAGGTCAAGGTCAAATTTGCATATTTTCACTGATGAACATTTTGTTATGACATTATGAAGCAATGTTGTTCAGAACTTAACACAGAGTCAACTGACCTTAGGTCCAGGTTACGGGTCCAAAGGGTCAAGGTCAAGTTTTGTATTTTTCACTGATGAACATTTTGTTATGATATCAAGAAGCAAAGTTGGTCGGAATTAAAGAATAAGTCAACTGACCAAAGTTCAGGGTCACTGGGTTAATGGTCAAGGTCATTTGGGTCCAAAGGTCAAAGACAAAGTTGATCTCTGACTTTGACCCTGGCTCTTAATGGAGGAGGTAAATAAGGTGAAGTAAAACAAATCAAAGCTAACAAATGAGTATTGCACCGGTATTTACATTTCTGTTAGCCCAGCAAATATGGAGGTGGAAGGAAACAAGACTCACATCATAGTACATGTAAAATGTATATTTTGCTTCCTTGCGATTCTTTTTGAAGTCCGAATGTCAAACGTCAAGCTCAGCTATATGGGCAGATTGCTTCTTGATTATTATGGGGGATATATTGCCACAAGACAGGGCCCTTACTGACCTGTCAGTGTTCTAGTTGATCTATTGATTATTTTATGAGTTACTGCCCTTTGTGTGTTTGGAGCATTACAAACAGGTCCAGATAAGCCTTTCTATGTCCCTTTGATATCTTTGAACTTTTGTAGTGTTTACCATATTTAACCACAAATTAGCCCCCTCCCCACTGTGGCAAATGTCCTAAGAACAGGGAAGTGCCTGCAGTTAGGCCCCCTCCCATATTTTGTCTCTCTCTCTCCCAAAAAATCTGTATGGTTTTTTTGGCTCTGAACAAAAGCAAATATGCTTATTGGATGCAAAAAAGCATTAACCCAAGTTAAAATTCTACCATAGTTATGTCACTGAATTTAACTTAATTGTGGATGTCTATTAGACTCATTGATCCTTTTATTATTTTCTGAGTTGTAGTTCTTTGTTTGCTTGGAGTATTACAAATTCGTTGTGTCGTTCCATTTTATTTCCTCGTAAACTTGGGAGAGTTTACCAACATCATACAAAGTTGTGAAGGTGTATCAGACTTATTCATCTGTCTGAGTTACTGCCCTTTGTGTGCTTCAATCATTATAAATGTATGCTGACAATTTTTATTTGTTTCCATTTGGGATTGATTTCCTTTGAAACTTTGTTAATTTTCCCACCCTTGTAGTAATGGGTTATGTGTATAAGACGTATTGATGTGATGGTTATTGTCCCACCCTTGTGGTAATGTGTATAAGACTTATTGATGTGATGGTTATTGTCCCACCCTTGTAGTAATGTGAATAAGACTTATTGATGTGATGGTTATTGTGCCACCCTTGTAGTAATGGGTTATGTGTATAAGACGGATTGATGTGATGGGTATTGTCCCACCCTTGTAGTAATGGGTTATGTGAATAATACTTATTGATGTGATGGTTATTGTCCCACCCTTGTAGTGATGGGTTATGTGTATAAGACGTATTGATGTGATGGTTATTGTCCCACCCTTGTAGTGATGGGTTATGTGTATAAGACGTATTGATGTGATGGTTATTGTCCCCCCCTTGTAGTAATGGGTTATGTGAATAAGACGTATTGATGTGATGGGTATTGTCCCACCCTTGTAGTAATGGGTTATGTGAATAAGACTTATTGATGTGATGGTTATTGTGCCACCCTTGTAGTAATGGGTTATGTGTATAAGACGGATTGATGTGATGGGTATTGTCCCACCCTTGTAGTAATGGGTTATGTGAATAAGACGTATTGATGTGATGGTTATTGTCCCACCCTTGTAGTGATGGGTTATGTGTATAAGACGTATTGATGTGATGGTTATTGTCCCCCCCTTGTAGTAATGGGTTATGTGAATAAGACGTATTGATGTGATGGTTATTGTCCAACCCTTGTAGTAATGGGTTATGTGAATAAGACGTATTGATGTGATGGTTATTGTCCCACCCTTGTAGTAATGGGTTATGTGAGTAAGACGTATTGATGTGATGGTTATTGTCCCACCCTTGTAGTAATGGGTTATGTGAATAAGACTTATTGATGTGATGGTTATTGTCCCACCCTTGTAGTAATGGTATATGTGTATAAGACGTATTGATGTGATGGTTATTGTCCCACCCTTGTAGTAATGGTATATGTGTATAAGACTTATTGATGTGATGGTTATTGTCCCACCCTTGTAGTTATGGGTTATGTGTATAAGACTTATTGATGTGATGGTTATTTAAAGAGTTACATGTTTTGCCCTTTTTCTGGTCAATTTTTGCTTTTGACTTGGTTTCTGGGTTTAATATTTTCAAATAGGCCTACCCAACATTGCTTCCACTAAAAGACAAGTGTTCTTGTTCAATGGTAATATTTCAGTAGTTCAAGAAAAAAAATCGCATCTAAAAATTGAGAGAATGAGTATTTTGGCAAAGTACAAAAATGTGAGTTATTTCCCTTGATTACTGCTAGTGCTACATGACGTTTTGTGTATGTGTATGTGCTAGACATCTTCTTTTATCCCAAATGAAAAATAATAACATTCTAAAAAAATATAATTAAACTTAAAATTCTAACCTTTGTCTACTCTGTGTTGTTATGTAGTTGACCTCTGACCTTGTGTGGTGCTGGGGATTAGCAAACCTACCTTATATGGTGATGGGATCATTATTTTGTTTCAGAAAAAGTGCCGATTCACTATAGAAGTAATAAGAAACAGATCGTGCCAGCTGCCGCCCTGGCTCACGATCTTTCCACGCCCGAGTTACAGGATCTCGAAGAAACTGGGCGTAATTCACGCTCTAGTGCTCACCTTTCCCCTAAGACTCTGAAAGCACCTGCTTTTTTACCAGGTTTGTGTTTGTTTGTCTGTTTGTCTTGGGGTTTATTTGACTGCTACTGTACGGCCATTTGTATTTTGTTTAGTTTGATATATCTCTCATTACTAACTTTACTGACATTTTCATCTCACACTGCATGTTTTTGTTTGATTCATTTTCTTGGCATGTTCACTTAAATAACAATGTTTACTTTTTAGTCTTAGTATTGCTGTGTATAGTCTTGTAATTTGATTTTGATTTTCAGTCAAAAATTGAAAAAAATCATGTAAGATTGACAAATACCAGCCTCATCGACCATGTCGTCTAAATGGTCTAAATGGTTTAACGGCATTGGAACCCCTGTGCCCTGGAGGGCAACTTCAGGGGTTTAAATCCCAGCTTGGAGGAAAAGCACTGTAGGACCTTAACAGGGTCTTAACTAGTTGTATAGACAGTGGTAATTTTGTTAAAGAATTGGTTGTACATGTCAGATTTAAGGTTATTTGTTGATACAGATTTAGAGATGCCTGTGGGAAGCTGCCACAGTTATCAAATAAATGTAGAAAGTTTGTTAGATCAAATTAGACCATCTGTATTTCTGTTGTACGTTTTGGTTAGACTTTTCGTTTAGCTCCTTTACTTTAAATATTAGAAGTGTAACATTTAATTATCAAATTTGTATTTAGGTGCTGAAGTACCACACTGTTATATCAATGTAGGTCACTGTAACTTGTATTTTCTGCTTCAATGACTTTAAGGTAGACTTTGGATTTTAGCTCCTTTTCCTTGTTTAGATGACTTTGTATCTAGCTCTGTGTCCAAAAGTGGAAGCTGTATGTTTTACAAACATTTTCTAGTTTGTAAATGAAATGTTTGACAAAGTATCATTCATTTTGATTTCAGCCCAAGTGAGATTGCTGTGAACATTAATTAAGCGTACAATGTTTTTGACATTTTCAGCGTGACCTAATACTTTCTCAGAGTGTTTCTGATTGTATTTCACCGGAGTTTGAACTAACTTAACAGGGGATGTTTTGATGCAGAGAAAAAACCTTCACGAGATGATATCTCGTTAAGTATTAAAGCTGATTTAGAGAAGATTGTAAAATCTGTGTACAATGCAGGTTGTGCACAGACTTGCTTATATTTACAGTTGCTTTATTATCAAAAGAGAATACAGGTAGTCAATATACTGGTACCCATATTTCTAAATATTTTCATCAGGTTGGTAAGTGGTTCATAGAGCACGACCAGTGAAATGTGTTTGTGTGATGTTTCAATGACTAGTACAATATGTAGGTACAAACACTTAACCAGTCATTTATTTCATTAACACAGAATACATACCAATGTTCATTTGAGATGTAACACAGCATTTGATCAATTGGTCATTCGAAAAATTTGTGACGGTATAACCACAAAGTACCATCCAGAAATTTTCCTTTTAATATGAAGCTCGGATGGCAATTATCAATGATCCGACTGACCAGACATATTATGTAATCGATTATAAATGGCTTCACGAACAATAGATAACCCCAAAAGGTCAATGAAATTCTGCCCCATTTGAATGTTGGTGACATCACCATTCCACAGTAGTGTGACCCAGATTTTGAAGGAAACGCACAAAAATATAAAAAAAAATCGTCCTTTCTTTCGCTGCTTTCAACTCACATGAGTTAAAATGGGATTAGAATGGGAATTTACTATACAGTTTTTTCAGATTTGCGGCGAACATCGTGATTATAATGTCACAAATGTCTGTTTTATTAGCTCGTAACTACCAGTCATCAAAATGTAACACACAAGCATTTCACTTATTTGTGCTGTTTGAACCTGTACTACCCAGGTACCCTTTCCATTCAACTCCTGATGCCTTAATCAGATTAAACCCAAATATACATGTATTTCTCATGGCTCCAACAGCCTGGTCAGTACCTTGTCAGTACTGTGATCACATTTCCCTGAGTTTTTAGCTCACCAGAGTTGAAACCATTGTTGTCTGTCTTCAGGCAAAAACTTTCTATAATTTGACTCCTCTGAAACCAGTTTACAGCTTGATTCACTTTATGTGGGGAGATCAAGATGTTCTCAATTTATGTTTCTACACATCATAAGGGCTGTAGGATTGACCCAAAATAGGAAGTTATAGTGAAAATCATCTCCAGTAGATCTGGAAATAGTGGATAAGGTATTTGAGTTGTAGGAAGGTTTAAGTTTTTTTCCAAAACCAGTTTCTCCACCCAGTAATGGAGCCTCACACCGAGCAGTCAAATTAGTTTACTCATGGTTATATAGGGAAAGTAGAAAATTACTTTTCTAGAAAATACTTTAACACATTTTCATGAAATTTCGTAAGAGGCATCAAAGACAAGGAGATAAAACACTCTTAATTTTGTGTCACTGCCTCTGTCCAGTGGGGGCTAAGATTCAGCAAGACCTAGCTAGAACAGAGTATAGTTTATTCATTTGTAGACATAGAATAAAATTATTCTCCATATTGAGTCACTTTGATTCTATATGAGGTTAAAATTACTTTGCTCTCAAATATGTATGTTCGAAGAAAGATAACTCTTAAACATTTAGCAAATATTTATCATAGATGTAATGAATGGATCGAGGCAGGGGTTGGGGTGGGGGATGTCGTACAACATCATCCCATAAATGACCACGTCCTGGCTGTGTACAGTTCAAACAAGTCTCCCTATGTGCTGCATTGAGTTTCTGGTCTCACCAGCTCGTATAATATAGTGTTGAGGCTGTAGAATTGGGGTTGAATTCTACCTGTTCTTTTTAAAGATAAGAACTATTTCACATGCTGTTTTTTTCTACCAGTACAAAATTCTGTCCTCATCACACTTTTTCCCTTTAAATTCTTTTGTTGTTTTCCATTTTGGCCTCAGATATTCAGCGATATTTAACTGTGATGTCTGAGTTTTTTCTCTACCAGTACAAAATTCTGTACTTGCCATCCTTCTTTCCTTTGAATTCTTATGTTATTTTCCATTTTAGATTCAAATATTTTAGTTGGTTTGTAGGCATCAGAAGTTGTAACTTGCTGGATGCAAGGGAGTGATGAACATCTTTGACTTTTTTGGTTTTAATGTGTTTAAAGTATGGGGCCATTTAAGGTTTGAACTGCTATTGTCATATATATAGTGGTAAGTATGATATAAACAAAGTTTATTTACAAGTACATGTATGTTGATAGCCTGAAGTTGAGTCTTCAATGAACATTTTAGAAAATTGACTGATTTAATTTTCCAGGGATGAGCATGTATGGCTCTGGCGACAGTAGACAAACAGGGGGTATTACTTTATTTTCTGTAGACTAAATATTATTGGCTGTGTGGTTAAAATCTGTACCAGTTTTCATTTAGTATTTATTTCTCTTCTTTGATATAACATTCATCAAATCTATATCAAAACTATGTTTTCATTTTCATATAAAATTAAAGGGGAAAAAAATAAAGAATAATTTTACATCTGTCTACAATTTTGTTTACAGAATATATTACTAAAAATCAGTAAGATCTACAATACATTGGCACTTTAATATATCTAAAAACTAACAAACTTTGGATGATGGACCTTAGGTTTGAAATTCTCTTCTTTGATAGTTGGATATTTTCTTTTCCTTTGGATGCATAAATAACATTAAAATTGTAGATTTTTAGTATTAATACCGTATTGAGTGCTTTATCTTAGAAGGGTCATATTTTCTCTAGTTATTTTTTACCACACCTGGAACAAATTTACAAGGTTTGGTTTTGGTACCACACCTGGAATAAAATTGCAGGGTTTAATTTCCACACAACACTGTAAAATTGTCCACTGTCTACTAACTCTTTTTTCTGCTGGGCAAAGAATTTGTGGATTGATAATTTGCATATATTTTTTACAGGCCTTTAATATATTTGAAAAAAAACTTCCTACAAAATTAAAAAGGCAAAGAGTACCATCAACAGAAAATATCTTATAACCATTAGCACAATCATGAATTATTTGTTTTGAGTCATTTTCCCCAAAAGTATTCAACATAAGTCTTATATCTCACAACGCATTTCAATGAATTGCAGTTTTTAGAATTTGGAAATTTTGTCAACAAAAAGAAATAATAAGCATAAATGAAAAAAAGAACTTCAAGGGGACAAACTCTGGACCTATGAATTGGTGATCCTTTGCTTTATAATGTTGCTGTTGAGCGATTTAAAATGCAAAGTATCAAAATGAAAGACGATTAACTTATCAAGGGAAATGACTCGAAATCATATTCAAAGATGAAAAACAGTTTTTAAATTGAAACCTTTTTCAGAATTTAAACTTGTGTTGTGGTACCCATGACCTAAAGTTTAAACGTTTAAAATAAGAAGGAACTGATTCCATATGTACATACTTTTAAGATATAAGTAAATATAATGAGTTATATAGTTTATATCTACTGTATATTTAACAATACAATTTGTATTTATTTTTGTTGCTATAGAATCTAATATAAGTGTCCAAGGTAACTTTCTGCTCACGCCTGTATGATATACCGTATATATCTCCAGTACATTGATAACTGTAAACAGATTATACCCAAAGCAGACATAACAGATCATTTAATTATCTATTCTAATACTTCAATTTGTTCAATCCTTCCAGGAAACAAATCTTTAAAACAAACGTCTACGTCATAGAACGTTTATAGCTTTAGTCATTCTTCATCTATATTTTACTTTGTTTCAAAGGTGGTTATCGCAATGCAGGTAAATTACTTTTAAACTGAAATAACCTTAGTTGGCAATTTTTTCTCTTTTTCTCAAAAGCTAACTATATTAGGATGTTTTCTAACTATAAAACTTTTCACAAACATCTGCTCCAGTTTTACACCAGCACAGTGTCAAAACTTAAATACAAGAAATACACCAGACTGGAATGATGTATTGGGTTTTATACTGTTGAACTTAGTCACATGTTCAATTCTCCACTGGAGTGTTTTGAGGGTGCTGAATATCACATAGTATTAACAAATGCTTTCACATGTGTTTGCGCAAAGAAATATTCCAACGTCAGTGTGCACATATCCTTCATATAGTGAATGATTCAAGGCTTTTTTATGAATGTATCATGTCTAGAAAATGTGTCCTGTACAACTCCAAGATGTTTGTCCCAAAGGTCAAATCAAAGGTCAACTCAACTTAATGCATGTCTGAGCACAAACATTTGAGAGACTGAACTTCTTTTCAAATTTTCATAGATGCATACATTTTTACTAACTAGTTGTTGACCTACATACAAATGTCTTGTTATAAGGTCAAGGTCACCATCATCGGTCAAAGGTCAAGGTATTTTGTTGCTTGTCCCAAAAGTATAGCTATAAGGCCTAAAGTTTTTTGTATGAGACTTAGTGTAACACTTGCAGCACTTGTACAGAAGGTCAAATCACTGGTTACTATTAGTTAAATAATTGAAACTTAAAGGTACAATACAGATAAACATATTTTAAAGGTTATAATTCAAAAGACATAAGAAGTAAAAAGAGAAAGTCTGTTCAGAGGAAGTTTTAAGTGTATTTATTTTTAAGAAAAATAGGATATATATTATCAAAATTTATTCTTTTTTGAAATGAAAAATAAATTCTCAATCAAATCAAGGTTGATAAGGGGAGATAACTTTGGAAATTTACATCATATGATAATATTCTGTCAACAATGACAAATTTGAATATGAGTGGGTTTGAGTTACACAAGTAATTCTCCATGTTTTCAGGACTTATCCATTTTGGAGTAGTTATGTAATTATTTTTCTCCCACAACCACTTTAGGTTTCCTCATCCCAGACTCCTTTGGACTTTTGGTTACCCACTAGTGGGTGACACACTGGGGGCTATTTCATTGGTCAATCTTCTAATTATGATGTCAAATAACAATGCTTTGTGACGTATGTATGACGTCACTGTGACGTACGTTCAGAAACAGGAATGATGCATTCCCAAGAGAAATGTTTGGTTTTCTAGATAAAATATCTGAACGTTGTAGGAGGAAAAGGTCCTCAAACTCGTGATGGTGGATCATCATGTTTATCAACTCTCGCTAGTTAATTTTCAAATTGCAAAAGAAACTTGGTAAACCTCAAGTTTTTATACAATTTGAAAGTTAACTAACTCAAGTTAGACAAATATGATAATCAACTACATGTATCACTCTTTGGGAACTTATTTAGATGTAATAGGCTGTATCACACACAGAGACTCACATATTATTGGAAACTTGTTATTTTAGCATTTTTCACAATTTCTCAATTTTGACATGATGTTGAATGTTATAAAATTGTATTTATGATTTAGTCAGTAAATAGGTTATTTTACTGAAAACCTTTGAAATTGGTCAGGTATATTAATTGATATGCATCAAGAACTTGACATGACCATAGTTTGGTAAACATAATTTGCTATAATTCATGTACATAAGACTAAGTGGAATCAGTAGTATTTGTATATCAGGTTTGTTATTTAAAGCTGACAGTGCAAGTTAAAAAGCTTTCAATTGAGATAAAAAAAATATCTCGTTTTAGGATCTTCCCCAGTGACTATCTATTTTGGCTATTATTTCTAAGGAAGTGCCGACATTTTAGTTCGTGCTTGCTTGGTAACCAGTATGGGTCTCACTGGGTTCAAAAAGCGTCAAAAGGAAGAGATAATCATTAGGGAAGATCTTGAAACCAAAAATAAAAAATAAAAAAATTGAAATCTATTTAGCTTGCACTGTCAGCTTTAAGCTTTGAACTATTTTCAGTTGACATTCACAGTGAATTTTTCTGCCAATCAAAGACAACAACTCCATGGACACCATGTTGAATATAACAGATTTTATATGGCATTCATATCACCTGTGAATGGCAACTAAGAGCAGTTCAATGCTTATAGTACAATTTTGGGAATATATTATTCGGATGAAATATGATAAGAGGATACCATATTTTAAGACTGAACCTGCATGTTTTTATTCATTGTGACAGCTATCTTCCAGGAAGTGATTGTGGTATCGAAAAATACTGCTGCAGACATACATATTTTAGCACTTTTTGTGCTTTAAATATTGCGCTATATTATCAATGCACTCGTTGAAGTTGATGTATGTTGTTCTCTATTGTATATTTTGTGGGTGCGCCAATTCATCAATGCGCTAACTTGTCAAAACGTGATATTACACTAAAATTTGAGTGTGGTAAAATAAGAACCTTTACAGTTTTATAGCATTACAATAATAACGTGGTGATGACAATTGGCACATGGTATTTCATCATTGATATAATTGCCAAATGAATTTTGTAGGGTATACTTTATTGACAAGCAATGGTAAATTTTGTTTGATCCATATTGAGATTACAGCGTTAACATTCCGATTGTTCTTTGTTGTAGGGGACCGAGTGATATTCGCGGAGAGTCCGTCAGCCCCTGGTATACCAGTGGTGTATCGGACCCCTGATGAAAGGTCTTCCAATCCAGACAGACTCAACCTAGACAGGTCTGTTTCCGTCCCGTAAAAAGTATACATAACACTGCTAACCCTGTATTAGGTGTTGAGGGTCCAGAGAGTCAGACAGTTTCCATCTCCACAAAATGTGTAATGTTTACAATCCATCTAGTCAGTCTTGAGGTCCATAATTCAACAATTTACATCCCCACATCTAATGTTCTGGATTTCAACTCTGTTAGAATTTCAAAAATTGAGGGGAAAATATGGAATACTGCGAAAGGATCTATCAGATGTAGCGTGATCCACTCATCCACACTACACAAAGAATGTATTAATGTTACAGTTATTTTCACAAATTTCTGGAAAAATCTTAAAACCCCTAGCAGTTTAATGTCCAAGTGTTCTATATCCAAACAAACCAAAATCACAAGTTACTTCCCTTTGATCATGAAATACATATAGTAAAATCTATGGACATAACATAACAGTATTTCTGATACAGGTCAGTAAGGCATAAAATTGACTGTTTTAGTTATAGATGTATTACACGTACATTATATCTGATACTAGAGGGAGAGGAGTAAAATTGAGTGTGTTTTATTTATAGAGATGAAGGGCGAGGAGTAAAATCATGTTTTAATTATAGACGGAAACTGACAGTATGTCCGATACTGGAGGGAGAGGAACAGCTTCGGCTGCTGAACTACCAACACAACATGATCAACAAGATCCAGCACCTCAGCTCCCTGAAGCGTCTCATCTTCCTCGACCTGTATGATAACCAGATTGAGGAGATTTCCGGCCTCAGTGCACTCAAGTCTTTACGGGTACTCATGTTGGGCAAGAACAAGTAAGTGGTCCCAGCATTACTTTAGGATTTAACGGACACCAAACATGTCCCTGGTAGAAATATCTATCTTATTAGATCATGTGGGGGAGAGAAAAAATATTCAGCAATGGAGATAATAGCTGTTGGAACGTTTTTGAGTCCATTGACGTTTTTTCAAGTATTTTGATTCAAGAATATTGTAGACTAGTTTTATGTATTTTAACCCAGTCACCCCTAAAGTCCCATTTGAACCTTACCATATCAAAGACTGGGTAAGTTCAGTTTAAATATGTAGGGGTGAATGAGATAAACGTAGATATAATCATGTGTCTAAATCTGTATTCTTAGAGATTTAGACTAGCATGTCTCCAATAGTAGTCCATCCAGAGTTTGATATGAAAAAATTTGAAAATGAGGCAATTGTGAAAAATTACTAGTTTTTAAAGAAATCCGACAGACCAGGGGGGAAATTGTTTTCTCTCCCAAAATGTCAAAGATCAGGGGAATATTGGGGTATAGCCAATTGCTTGGTTTATATGTATGCTGTAACATTTTTCATCTTATTTCAGAATTAAAAGAATAGAAAATTTAGAAACACTTTGTAAACTGGATGTGCTGGACTTACATGGTAATCAGGTAAGCATACTACCAGTGTTGTAGATATGTTTCTTTGTCATCAAATCCTAGGATGACGCAATTCTTCTCAATCCGTTTTAATGAATGTTAGTTTGATGAATGAAGAAACTTAAACAGGTATTTATCTGACAATCAAAAATAGCAAACAGGTGCACAGTGGTGTGTTGTGAGGACATAAAATGATGGAGAAACAGAAAAAGAAATGAATGACCCTTCAAAATAGAATTGCTATAATACCTAAACTATGCGTTGTATCAATATTAGTACACTTGCAAACCTTTCAAACAGTTGAATTAAATAAGTGTTTTTTCGAATTAAAAGGTAAATGATCTAAAGTCCAAAATATATTAGAAATATCTGGTCACGTCCCCCCCCCCTGCAAAAAAAAGTAAATGCTTCTGGTTCTGTCAACTGAAGAAGGTTTATCATGTATGTAGTGAGTTGTTTAGTTTTTATTGCTAACCTCTGACCTTTATTGCCGACCTGTGACCTTTTTTGCCGACCTGTGACCTTTATTGCTAAACTCTGACCTTTGTAGATTGCCATGATTGAGAATCTGAGCCATCTGTCAGAGCTTCGAGTGCTGAACCTCGCGGGAAACCAAATCAGCTACGTTGACAATCTGTCGGGTCTAGACTCTCTAGCGGAACTCAACCTCCGGCGCAACAGGATCAGAACTGTGGTAAGTTCCTAACATCTGATGAGTCCTTGTTAGTCCAGAGGCCTAAATTGTGTCTGAGAGTTCTGATTAGGTTAGAGAGCTGAGACTGTATGACTTAAATACAAGATGAGTGATACAGGCCTTTAGACCATGGGCCTCTTGTGTATTAGTCTCCTACTGGTACTAATTGAGACCATAAGTTTTCACTCCATTTACCAGTATATCAATGTGTGTGTGGTTTTATCCAGGGCAAAGTGATGTCTTGTGCCTTTTATATACAGAGTTACAGCCCTTTGTTTACCAATCGTCTGAGACACACCTCATATGCTTCGTCACCTATAGTTGCCAAATTTTGTATCTGAATACCACTTGGGATAGTGGAGTGTCACATGCTGAAAACAGGCCTTGCCCTCCGCATATATACAGAGTTATAGCCCCTTTTTCGTTTCTGATGCAAAAGTTTGTCCTAAAGTGGGGGAATTCTTGCAATGATTTGCCATGTTTATTTACCAAATGGTGAATAGATAAAGTTGATGACATTTTTGACAGGAACTGGTAAGGAATAGAAAGGAAAGAAATACATGGTATTGTAACAGTCAGAATCCTCAAATCAGACTGAATAACTTATATTCCTGTTTCCTCCATTCAGTATTACATCTGATAACAGATTCTGGTCTAAAAAAAGTAAAAAATTATTAAAAGAACTAAATGTTAAATCTTAATCACAATTTACACATGAGTCAAGCATGTCTCATTGTCTATGGTGTTTGAGGTTTAGTGGCCAAAAAATTGAAATGTACACCCACATAAATTAAACGCACGTTTTGATTGTGTGTTTCCAGGTTGATGTAGACACTCTTCCGAGCCTTCAGCGGTTGTTCCTCAGCTTCAATGACATCTCCAGGTAAGACCTCTAGACTTGGTTGATTAAGGTTCTTTTAGCTGTTACACAACAGAGTTTCTACCCATATGTAGAATGAATGTCTGCATTTTGTTGTAAAGAAACCAACTTGTGGTATGAACTTTGGTTTGTGCATGAATGTACAGTAGAATTACCTACAGTACTTTACCTACTAGGCAACTGGGAGACTGGCTCTTTATTTGGTACTATATTGTACCAACACCATAGGCCCCAGCCCTATTCCCTGCCCCCACAAAAGTTATAAAATATCACTTTGGTTATCATATTCCCATATATGTTTCATAGAATAAACCTAGAATTCCTTGTAATCATACAAAGAGTCCTCCGTCAAATCCTTATCCTGTTCACTACAAAAACTTGGGAAAGTAAGAATTTGAATAAAAAAATTGTCTCTATTCACTAGCAGCTCAGATCTGATTGGTCATATATACTTCACTAGCACTGAGCTCTGATTGGTCGCACATTTCCGTGTGATAATGTAATCATAGATGACAGGACTCGGACAAAACTTTGTTAGCATTTACTTTATACCTGGAAACTTTCGCTGCTGTTTAATTTTCGTCTTTTTTTTCGCCCTCCGTAATGAGGTCAAACTTGTCATTACAGCTAACATTAGTAAACAAACTAATAAACAAAGTAATGTGAAGGGCAAAACTAAACCTAGGCGAATACGGATTTTTCCGGTGAAGGGTGAAAGTTTGACTGGGCGAACATTTTCCGGTATACAGTATACTTCATATGAATACAAAGACACATGCTTATTGAGTTGGATTGTTATCTGCTAGTTTGTCAATTAAGTCTTACTCCCATAGGAATTCCTCTGAAAATTAACAGGTATCATGTATCTGATATAATTTACTTTTGATGGGTGTGGTGTGTTCAGCTTGTGGAGCTGTTTTATGATACGTACTCGGCAGGATCCTTTCTTTATCTCAGCGTTCTGGATACATGTGTGTCATTCACTTCAGCTCAAATGTCACAAACACTTGGTAATTATTTTTAAATGCAGTTTAAAGAAGATCCTATCACAGATATCAGTTACAGAGCTTTCTCTGTTACAGTCGAGAAATCGTAATCAGAACTCTCCGATCACTGCTCTGTTATTAGACCGATACATTCCTCCGACGACTGGTCTTACGTTACAAGTTTTATGTTTAACATGAGTGTACATTGAATTTAAACTTCAATTTCAACACCTGTAGGTACAGATTGTAGTTTGTACTTAAAGTTACAGGAAAATCATATATGTCATGTATGGAACGTAATGGAACTTAATCGGGCATTGTCCGACCGTTAAATTTCGACTCTAATTTGTACAGTGAATATGGACAACTAGGTCGCAGTTTATATATAATTGTAGGCGCAGATGTGTAATTCATTCATGCATTATGCTCTCAGACCGATGATTTGAATGGTTTTTCAACTCCTCTCGATTTGTTTTGCAAGAAGAATTCATAAATGAGCATATTATGTATCTGTGGGGTACACATTTGAACGATTTTGTCAGTATTTAGTATAATTGTTAGCATAAGCATTCCTTGTAGTATTCACAAATGTATAGTGAAACCTCATTTTACTGACAACTCTATAAGGGTACCCGTTTAAATAAATGAATTCATTCAGTGACAAAATATCCGGCCTACAAGTCATTGCCTCGTCCAGAAACTCATTCTCCTTGTATATATTGCTTTCATCATGTGGCTAGATATATTTTTGTAAAAATGCAATACAATTTATCATATCATCGGCTAATCCGTGGTTATAACAGACCTGTCATTATCAGACGCCTAATAGTACCAGTGTCAAAAACTGCTTGGGAAACTGCTTTTTTTCCAGACATGACTATAGTTTTTATAAATCATTTTTAAAAAGAAAACCGTACCTTGCGGGACTTTTATGAATTTCATAATTAACAAAATATTATCAACAACAGTGATCTGAGTGTAAACATTTTGCAGGGCTAGGCTGGGATTTGAACACTGGACTTCAGATTGTCATACAATCGCTCTAACCGAATAGAAATGTCCTGGCCCAAGTGGGCTACATGTCAGTTATATCCAAATGGAAATTAAGGGGAAGTTACTGTAAATTGTACGAAAAACCAGTGCAGTAGGACGGATAGATCCTTAAATTAGTCTTCTTCAAGCTTTGTGTTAGAGGGATACTCATATGAAGGAGTAGTTAACGGTACACTTGTCCTGTTGTAGAGCTATTTACTGGTACGCTACTGGGATATATCAATACCATTGTCATTTAGCAGGAAAATGCCAGGAAATCAATATCTATCATTGTTTAAACGGACCCTTGTATTCTGTGAAGTTTTTCGATTTCAGTGTTGAATATTAGTAGTGACCCTCTGTTCATGAAAATTGGAAGACAGAAAATACAGGGAATGTATTCTGTTCCAAAAAAATAAATTGATTTTGTTTTTGTTCGGAAGCTTAGAGTATTGTTATAAGGACATTGTACAAATAAAGACTTGTTAAGAATACAAACAAGAAATGTTAAAAGGACTTTGTTACTGATATAGACGTGTTAATTATTCAAACAAGTAGAAAATTACGACTGGAAATTGTTTGTTTCCTTTCTTGAGAATTCTTAATTAAGTACACTTACTACATTACTGTACAAGCTCTTAAAGTAGGGTCCAAGCAGTCTGTTTTGTATCTTCAACAAAGAAGAGTTCCAGTTTTTTCATCATTTTTCTGAATTTTAGTATGTTGCTGTTTTACTATAGCCTACAGTAATATCTGAAAGAAATATATTTATTGTAATAACCGTTTTGACCAGAACTTCTCCCCCACGGAGGGGCAGTGGTGGCCAAGTGGTTAAGGCTTCTGACATTCTGCTACCACTAACCCTCCACCACTGGGTCGCTAGTTCTTAGGCCTATGTGGGGCTGTCGCCAGGTACTGGCCACAGGTTGGGGTTTTTTCCCCTCCACCTCCAAAACCTGGCACCGCCTTAAATGATCATAGCTGTTAATAGAATGTAAAACCCAAACAAACCCAAACCCTCCCCCACAAGGGTTCCGATCCCTGAATCTCTTGATTGTAAAGCAAGGAGTGTATCCACTGTTTTGCCGGTCATGATATTTCTTATAATAATTTTCCAAAACATTACTAAGAATAATTTCAAAATGTTCTCACTCATTTAATTAACAGGGGATGGACTCTCTAAAATAGTCCTCAACCTAAAATTGGCATTGTAATGTGAATAAAGAAGAATAAAATGATTATAAAGTTTATATTCAAATTGTAAGGGGAGGATACTGTATGTAATTTTTTTTTTACATGTATTGGGATTCTCAACTATTTTACCTGCCGAGGGACCGGCAACCTTAAACATACATAGTGTACTACACCCTAAAGTTACACCAGGTAACAGCAATATCAAGCTAGCCATAAATAGCTTATCAACACATTAAGCCATTTATTTTTCATCTTGAAACGCAATTGCCAAAAATTTATCATGTTTTTTTTTTCTGAAGGTGATCGTTCTGAATAAAAGAATTAACTTACATGTTTAAGTTTTGAAAGGAATTGATAAAAAATATCAGTTATCTAAATTATCCTTTTGAATGGCATTAATGCATTCACCCTTAAAATTTCATAATGAACTATTCCAACCTTTGAATTGGAAGTGTTCAAATGTGTCTTCAGGGGTGAATGAGTTAAACTGCCCATTGAGTAAGATGAACTATTGTGCTCTAATGTTGTTCAAAGTAAATTCATATCGGGCGCAGCAAACTGATTGTAATGTAAATTGTGTAATTTTTTATTTGTGTGTTTTTAGTTAAAGTGCTTTTAAGTGATCGACCGATAGATTTATTATGTAGTCATCATTCATATAAAGAATGTTTTATTTTTTTATTTCCTAAAACAGTAAACAAAAGAGCCTATTGATTTTATGAATAATAAATCCATCAATTACTGAAATATATGCACTTTCGTGTGTAGCCATAAATAAAAAAGACTAATGCATGAGTTTCCTGATCAATCGAACATGCTATCTCTAGTCGAGATAAGAGGGAAAAAATAACAAGGTGTTTATACAGGGAGGACATGTTTTAAGCAAATTAGTTTGGAAAACAAAAGAGTTCTTTCATTCAGTGTAAAATAATAAAAATCTGTTTGTCATTGGTTAAAGTTGAGAAAATAGAAGAATTCTTTCATGAAGGATTAAAAATGATCAAAAATATTTTTATCATCTTTAAAAGTTCAAAATAAGTAAAACAAACTGTTCTTTTGATAAAGGGGTAAAAATCATTTTTAAATCTTTTTGTCGTGTTATAAAGTTATGCAAAAATCATAAAGATATTTTTATTATCTTTAAATGTTCAAAATAAATTGAGAAAACAAAATGGTCTTTCACAAAAAGGTAAAAATAATTATAAAAATATATTATTTTTTTGGTCATGTTATTAAGTTCTTCAAAGTCACTAATAATAAACAGACCGGGGTATTCTTTCGATTAAGGCTCGAGTCTTCGTAGCAGGAAGAGGATATTATGGGATGTATGTTTATTATTTCTATGTAAGCTAGTTATTACTGCATGTCTAATCGGCCACGTGTTTTAATCATGGTGTTGTTGTACGGTCAAATATTTATTTTTCTGACTTGTTCACAATGTATATTGAATTTTCTGAATTGACTTTTATTCAAGTGTATGTTTATACACATTGCCCCATAGGGTTATATACTCTTAAAGATTACTAGTAAATAATTTCAAAGGTAATTGTTATGACTAAGATAGAATTACATGTAAAGAAAAGGTAACTTTTTCTGTTAAGGTACATAGGTAAACCGCTGTAGTCTTTTTTTAATAAGTATTATATGTATATAGGCTGTGAAAGGGTCTAACAATATCTGTGTATAACGTGTAGGTATATTTATATAAGGGTAGTAGGGTGGATATGTTCGTGTCTATGTATACGTACCTGCTGTATACTTCTGTCTGTGTGAACAGAGATAGTGTTACAA